GTTTCCTGATGATGAAGGTCATATAACCGAATATATTCAAATCAAGTTGAGCGATAAGCAAAATGCTCAAAAAAAAACTGGTCCCATAATTATTTTAATTAAAGATAATTTATAAATGTATATTTTTTTTTTTAATTTTTATTAAACAAATGTCGAACTGGTCAGAGAAATTTAAGAATTTTGAAATTGTTTTAGGTTGGAAGAAATACAAAATTCCTAAACCGTCCTCTCTTCTAAAACCATTTTTTTAGTTACAAAAATAATAATGAAAAATTCTAAATCAGGAATAGAAAATATCCACTACGACACATTTAGAAAAGGATAGGTTTTTGAAATATACAGAAATAAGATTGTTTACAAAAGATATTTTTCTGGAAATCACGAAGATAAATCCATTTTAAACTGCACAATCGAATATAAAAAATATTACGAAGCAAAGATAAAAGACATATCAAACACCATTGATTACAAAAACACTAAAGCAAAACCAAATAAACCAATAAACAGCAAACTCAATATTAAATTTATAATTAATTAATTTAACAAGTAAGAGGAGGATCCTAAACTCGTATATATGTCTTAAATTTAATTTCGCTTGTTATACTAACTCTTACTTGCCACTTTTTAATCTGAACGATTGCTCTGCGCTTTTTTGTTCTTCAGGTTTATTATTTTTTATTTTTTCGATTATACTTTAAATTTTCAATAAATTATAATTGTTATTTTAAATAAAAAATAAAATACAATCTTTGTCAAGCTTTCCAAATACAAAAAAAAGTAAATATAAACCAAAATAAACCATGACAACATTCACAAAAAGTACTTCGACAACTCTAATTCTCTTCATCGTTGTTAGATTTACATATGGGATTATGAAAATCGGGTACAAAAACTTTATGTAAATTATTTTAATATAGTGAAAAACAATCGGAATCTGGAAAAAATTATAAAATCTCAACAAATTCACAATATTTGTTGTGTATTGGTTATCAAATCGAAACAATGTTCCAATATTATTGAATAAGCTAAAAATATAATTCGAAATAAAATCCTCAAACTCCTTGATATTTGCCGCATGATAATGGTCTCTTTCATCTTCAGCATCTCTCAAAACAATTTTTAACGTGTCATTCAATCGCGTCAGATTCTCATTTGTTGCACAAATCTGATTATTATCAGTTTCAAGTTCTTGATTTCTATTTCTTAAACGTGTATTTTCTTGAACCAATTCATCTCTGTTAGCATTTAAAGCACGAATCTGTTGTTCCAATTCATAAATTTTTACTTGCATTCTAGTGTTCTCAGCCAAAACCATCTCTCCTCCTGTTACACGTGGCTCCATTTTGTTAAATTTATTTTTTTTTAACTAATTCTTCATGATCTCAATTTATTTTTATACTCTAGATTAAAAAGTGGTACTAACAATTTTTCAGGCTGGAACCTGAAAAAATTGTATATTCAACGATTCGTGAACTTGAATCATCGTAAGAACAAATCAAACATCTTTTACTAATCAGTTTAGAAATCGATTAGATTTTTCTTTATTTAATTTTTGCTGTTTCAAAGCTACAAGCCCCCATGGCGCCTGAATGGGGTAGGTGAGAGCTAAGCGTCAGTCTGCACGAACCCACAGTAGGAAAAAACTACCGAAACTAGATGCGATTGCCGATTTGTGCCGGGCAAAATTCGGCTGAAAGTCAGATTTTCATCAATCGACGTGGCCCAGGCAAATCGCATCACATTTATTTTCTTATCCCATAATATATTTATCACAATTCCTAATTTGGAACATATAAAATTCTATTCTAATTTTTTTATATTAATCTTAATCTGTATTTTTACCGATATAATTAAAGTTTAAATTCCTAATCGGTACAATTACTGTTTTAAGTAATTTACCTTATCTTCAATGAACTTCCAAATCAGACATTTCAAATTTGGCAATAAAATCGAAAAAGTTGTTTTGTCGATCCTAAATTAAAATTAAAATATCGCAATATATTAAATATATGCACATATAAAATCTAATTTAAAAATTAAATAAACAATACTCTAAATTTAAACTATTAAATATATGCATGTATAAAATTTAATTTAAAAATTAAATAAACAATATATTGTAATATAAAATTCTACTCTAAATTTAAACTATTAAATATATGCACGTATAAAATCTAATTTAAAAATTAAAGTAATCAACATAAATTATTATTTTAAATTAAATCATTTGGAATACTTTTTGCAAAAGTTCGAATATCTTTTGCAGGAGTTTGAATACTTTGGTTTCTGGCCAATCATCATTGTTGATTTGGAATACTTTTTGCAAAAGTTCGAATATCTTTTGCAGGAGTTTGAATACTTTGGTTTCTGGCCAATCATCGTTGTTGATTTGGAATACTTTTTGCAAAAGTTCAAATATCTTTTGCAGGAATTTGAATACTTTGGTTTCTGGCCAATCATCGTCATTGATTTGGAATACTTTTTGCAAAAGTTCGAATATCTTTTTTAAATACTTTCAAACCATTACCAATAAGATTCGAGAATTTTAAACTATCAATTTATATTACAATACATAATTCAACGTAGAACTTTCTAGCAATTTTTTTTTATCAATAAAAAAATGAGCGAAAAACCTTCTCTCTCTTCACGAATTTATTCGTTTAAAACCTTTTACATTCATAAAATTGTTATCCAAACTTATTTTTATTCGCAAAAACTCTCTACAATTATCAAACAAAAATGCGTTTCTTTTACTTAATCGTTGCTTTTACGGTTCTTTTCGGTTTACTTTTAGTAAACAATATAGAAAAATTCGACATCTTTACATATATTTTTGAAATTATTTATTCAAAAGAATTTTTTTTCTTCAGAATGACAGTATATTTAATATTTATTATATTTAATTTCTGTTTTTGGTGTTATTTGATAAAAACATACCCTAAGCGATATATTTATTAATTTTGTAAGTTGGACGTTTCATCTTACTTTGTATTTGTAAATTCGAATTATGCTGTCATAGAGTCATAGGAATATATTCTGAATGCTTTATGATGAGGATATATTATATTATCTCTCGAGAAACTGACTCGTAGATTAGAGTTATATCTCTGAGACGGAAGGGCTGCAAATATTGATGAAGAGAATTTTCGTACTAATAGTTTTTTATTTTTTTATTTCATTTATTTAGATAAATAATTTATACAAGCAAGAAAAAAACTACCTTTACAAAAAAAAAACTAACACTAATAATACTGGTAAGTAAATAATTTAATACAATAAAAATTCTTTTGTGTAAAAGAACAAATCATCTAAATTTAATAAATAAAAATTTTGTTTAAATTTTTTATTAAAAAGATTTACAGCAACTTCGAAATTTTCTTTGTATATAGCTATTCTTCTATTATTTAATTCTTGGTCACATTTATTTTTTCGAATCCTCTTCCTTTTACATGAATATTAACCCAAGAACGAACATGGGCTTCAAAATAACCAAACCAACTTTTTAGTTCTTCATATATTTCTGGTTCTTCGTTTCTTACTGCTTCTTGATATTCATCATATCTTGTATAAAAATTTAAATGTAATATAGAAAATTGTTCTTCTTGTTCAATTGTTGGTATAGGGAAGTCTTCTTCTTTATCGACAATTGAACCAGACGATCGATTTTTATCATCTTGAATATAGTCTTCCCAAGTTAAATCGATAGTTTGTTTTTGTTTTTTAAAATTAGTTTTAATTTTTTTTAATAATGTTTTTAACAAAATTCATTTTGTAAAAAATTTTTTGTCAAGTATTTTTTTGTCGTTGTAAAAAATTTTCAGGTGATTAAATAAAAATTTTTTATCAAAATTAATATTTCTAATTCAAGTAATTTAATTCTCATGACTAATACATGTACCAATAAATTCATAGCAATTCTTTATTTTTTTCGTATTTCAAATTCATTCTCGAGAATTCTTATCAAAATTAATATCTCTAAACAAGTTATTTATTTATCATTACTAATAGCAAACCAATTAAATTAAAAAAAAATATTTATTTCAAATCAAGTTATTAACTTGAATAAAAATATTAACAACAAAATATTGATAATTTTTAAGGGTTCTAAAAAAATAAAAATTTATTAAATTTTAAAGTATATTTGTAAAAAAGCAATATTTTTAATATTTTTTTATACAATTTTCACAAATAAAAAATTATACATAGAAATAAAAAAAAACTTTGAATAAAATTTAGTTGTTTTTTTTAAATCTCTTATTCAAAATTAAATTCTACATATTTTTCTTATTATATAAATTTTAAGCCAAATTTTTGACGATTCAAAATAGTCTTTTTTTTTTGGTAAATTCACATATTTTTTATAAAATTTTCATTGGTTTTTAACACTTATTTAATTTTATGTTGTTAGATTTTCAAAACACTCAAGAGCTTAGCTAAATATTTCATATAAAAAATATATTAAATTTATTTTTTTCATTATTTGAGCTTAACTTAATTCATATGTATAGCCTGTATTTGCACCTTTTTGCGTAGTCTCTTGAAAAGTGTTACAAGAGACTACGCATTAATAGTAAAAAAAAAACCTCAGTTCTTGATGAACTTTATATATGAACACAATCCTGATATCGACAAAGCATTTACTATCTCATTCCTAGTCCTGAAAGAAATACTCAAAAAACTTATTCTAGTTTTTACAACTATTCTTTTTACTAAACTCAATTATTAAGGGTGTGGTTACTTAATGAAGTAGTCAAGTTGTCACATCTCCAAGTGGTTGAATATTGGTTTAATTTCTACGGAGAGCGAAAATTAAAATTTAAGAAAAATGAAATTCAGTTACTAACATCGTGGCTAGGAAAATTCGAGATCTGGTAACTGTGGTTGTACTAATTATAGTTTGCCAGTAACTAGAAGATCCCAGGGTATTTATGTAATATAAGGAGTTACACAAAGGCATACAAGCCAGTTTAGTCAATGCAAACCCAAGATAAGTCTTTCAGAATCGCAGAAAGCTACAGGGCCGATACAGTGGTGGGGTACTCACTTAGGAAGTTCCAAATAAAGAGGTAGCACAGATCTTTGATAGTACTATATACAGATTGATACTTAAAGAACCAGTAAAACTGAACAGAACCGAAGTGCTTAGCAAGATACTTCACCAACCAGGCTACCAGAGGGTAGCCGGAGGAAAAGAACCCAATTGTGGGGACTAGAAGCAGGTCATAGCCCTTTTGGGCCATCTGAATTGGTAGTTTGGGATAGCTGGGGATACTAGTAATAGTCTGTAAGTGTATACTGGGGTTTGGGTAAACTTTATAAAGACAGAAGTAGATTGTGTAGCAGCAATTAGGAAACTAGGGCACAAGTGGCAGGCCTCAGCCTGTGCATATCAACTGAAGTCTAGATCAGCCAGATTGTGAATATAGAAGGCTCTAGCAGGTTTACCCCGAGAATAAAATTGTTCTAAGATAGTTACTAAAGAGTATTATATTAAGATTATATATATAGAAATATATATATAACAGATATAGATTATCTAGTTGTAAAAGTAATTCAAACAATAATAAAGTATTTGACCGAAAAGTCACCTTAACACCAAAAAAAAAAAAAAAACTAAACTCAATTATCCAGAAATTTTTATTTCACCAGTTATAGTCCCACCTTACAAGACTCAAAACTGTTTACAATTTTGGATTAACCTTGCTTGTATATATCTATATCTTTCTAACAACTATTAAACTATAAATTATACTAAGTTTGCAGAAAACATATGTTTATAATCTAAATACTTTAAAATCAC